TTTTTTTACCGTGCTTGCGAACCTATCAGCGTCGCACCCCTGGATCCGTATCTAGCATATAGGCACTGAGTACCCGAAACAGACCCTTCATCTGGAGTTTCAATTTTGCATTCGCATGACATTTAGAACTTAAGCCGAGGATAACAAAGATCAATTTTCCTTAACGACTTAACGATTTCACAGTAAGCGCCAAGTAAAGGTTAATAATAGGCCTTTGTACCACCAAAGTCTGCTTGTTTTTGAAAGAATTTTTGCGAAGCTTTAAGGCGTAATTTAAAGGATGGTAAACCTTAAAGACATACCATCAATTCCCGACGGCTGTAACGTCCCCAAGCGATTTGTTTCGTCTTTATTAGTGAGACTTTATTTTATTTGGAAAGATATTGGTCTCTTGGAGTCCAAATCTGCTGGGACTTCTAAAACTAATTTGTCTATATGGGGATCCAATTCAACAATTACTTCTGCAGTAACTTGATTAAACCTTGCACTACGTTGAATCTCTTTCTCCTTACTATACCCATAACTTCATATTTTACCAGCAGCGCCACCTATAATTCAGCCATGAACTGCGTAGAAAGGTTTTGGTACTAAGAACATGAAAAATACGGCAAACTTATGGTCTGCAATCGCCAACTTATGAAAAATCTGCAGTGAATGCCTTAAGGCTAGTGAAATTGGGCGGGGCGTTCCACTTTTTGTCACTAACGACATTTCTCTTTAAAGCCTTTCCTTTTCAAAACTGATGCTGGTTATGTAACATTTTAAGTGAAATGGGAGTTTTGCCTTTTTAATTAATCTTTTAGAGCAACGTCTCTTACATTTATGCTCCTACGCTTCCCTTTTCACTCGTCTAATTTGTCAATTTGAGGTTGTTTTAAGTCATACCCACCAGGACCTGCTGTTTTACTGGCTGCTTATTTTGTTCGTTTAGGTGTGTTTATCTTCTCTCCTCTTCCTTCCTTCCCCCTATCAACAATTACGTTTTGGACACTTGATAGTTTTCCTCCATTAGCAAAGCATTCCTCTCATATTTCTATTGTCTCTTTAACCTTCATTTCCCATTAACTTGCTTGGGTCATTTGGGAAATAATTGATGGGATTCATTCCCCTGCATACTATTCTAATCAGCTTCACATCTTGAGGGTCACCAATTTGGAGTTGTTAACCCCTCAAGTATTTCAAAAGCCTACGGGAGCATTTCTAAAGCCATCATAATAAATCGTCTCACGTGCGTGAAATCAGTGATTGTTCTATTCTGTTGATAACCCTGTCATTTATACACTACGTCCTACCTTATCCAGGATGAGTGGGTAAAAAATGCAAAACCTGCAAAAATGCCTACATTAAATCGTGGGAACTAGTAAGGTCGGAGTTGAAGTGTGATGCTGAGATGGGATTGATTCCAAGTCTTTATCGCTCCGCTTCCTTCCATGGGTATGAGTGGAAGTTCGAGTTTGTTAAATTGCGTTGACTTGCTCTCATCATCTGCATTTACTATTAGACTTACAGTTAATATTATCAGAGATAATTGACAAACTATATTTTACGAAATAGGTTTTCCGTTGCTTGTAATGTCGAGACTTGCTTTCATACTATTTCTTATTTTTTAAGTCAAGGTCCTTGTAAATTTGCTGCAAAATATCATGGCAAAATTATTTTTGTGACCTTAGTGCCTAAATATTTATCAGACGGTTGCTTAAAGTGTGAGCCGGCAATGCCATTGTCATTAGGCATTTAAGGATCAGGTGACAGTGAAGAAACGTAAGTAATTTTGGCATAAGGCTTTTGTCTGGAGCTATAAGTCGTAAGTCAACTCATTTCATAAGTCATTAGTAGAGTTATGACAATGGAATAACCTAACATATGCCTCGATGGGCACGCAAAACAGCATGCTAGAAATTGCTGTCTGCCATGGTTCCGTTTCACTCCTACAACTCTACATTTTTGCTTCTTGATTTGACTATCTCCTCAGTTTTACCTAATTTTAGGGCCAGAAATTTAGATTGCAAAGACAAAACGGAGTCCCTATCTTGTGAATTTTCGCTGACGCAAAGCAAGCTTTGGTAAAATGAGACTTTGTTAAGTTGTTTGTCTCTTTACGTAATCGTAGCCGAAACGGACTAACATTAGGTACTTTAAAAATCAATGGGCTCAGTACAGGATTGCATTTCGCATTTGTATGCGCGAAAGTGCCTGTTGTATGGCTTGCCTGGAATCCCCTCATGGTTGCGAAATTTCATTGTGATCAAGATTTTCAGACACGTGGAGTGGTGCATATTCACGCTGTGTGATTGTGGATGTGCACGTGGAACTTTGAAGGATACTTCCCAGCTTCTCAAATAGCTGAAATGCTTTTCGTTTCTGGCTTAAGTAAAGGGAACGCTTCCAAATGTGCTGTTAAGTGGATTTAAATCAGTGGGACCGTAGATACTACACCAAAAGTGCCTGTTTTTTGTGAGCGGCCGGTAATACCACTTAAGTCGCATGCAGTTGATTTTAAGTGGAGTTCATTTTGTACTTTTTAGCAAGAAGATTCGAGACAGGTTCCTTTAGGAGAAAATAGGTTTGTAATCGACTTATTTGGAGCCACAAATAATGTGCTTCACTTTTATATGCCTCTATGTTAAAAAATTTTGCCCCATTTGTTAAAATTAACTCCTCGTAGTAAACTATTTATGACGGAAGAAATCTGCAATTAATAACAAAGTATGCACCCCGGCTTCTAGTGAGTCTGTAAATCAAGAATTACAAAATTGAGAAATAACAGTCACGTGAATGTATCACGAAAATGCAATGCACCAGAACCAACATTAGAGATAAGAGCTCGTTTAATTCAGTCAACATCTAAACATGCTCGTGACATAAAACCTTTTTTCCGACATCGCACAGCGGATTGTTAAAGTCTAAAACGCCAATCAGAACAATCTCATCATGAAGGCAGCGTGGTTGCTGTCACAAAATCACTGAATGAGCCAAGGTATTTGAATTTCATGTGAGATCTTGGACGACTCTCTGCGTAGACGGCGGCAGAAACGTTTTGCTGAGCCTTCAAGCTGGAGAATCTGTAAACGTGATTCGAAATCACTTGAGTGTAATGTAAGGTACTCAGATCGTGAGTCCACAAAATGACATAACCAGTAATGATGCCATAATTTTTAGCAGGCGGAGTCCATGTCATGTAAAGAGTGTGAGAATCAAGAGCTTTTATCCTCACATTTTGGGGAGCGCTGAGCTCTACAAGGCGAGAATGTGCATTTTGTTAATATATTTGACTTCCGGCAGCAAGGTGAATAAGGAGAAACACCATGCTGCCTACATTCGTGCTGATTACGGGTAGCAAAAAACAAACCTTTATTCAATCTCCTAAATTCCACTGGGTCTGCCATCTCACTGAAGCAATTAGGTGGCACGCGTCCACGCACAGTGAAGACATACGCTGCTGACTGCTTTTCTAATGTTGTGGTAAAATATCGTTTTTCGGTAGCGAGAACGGCCAAGGAATCCCAACGGTCCTGCCATCCGAGGTGACCACTTTTCGTTAAGATTTCATAGCCACCGAAGTCTCCTATAACGCCCTCAGGATTGCTTATTGAAAGAACCAAGCGTTGAGTAAGTTCGTTGTACATAGCCTCAAATGTAGGTTTATCCATGCCTGTTGCAATAAAGATGAAATATAACCAAACTTAAATGCTAACTTGTTACATTAATTTAGTTTGCTCTTAACGAAGATCAAATGATTTATATCAAGAAGCTCGGATGTATACACCGCTAATACTCAATTTAAAATAAGCAATTGGTTGCTTCAGTCTTAAGGTTGCTGCAAAACGCCATTTGGGCTTTCATTTGAAGTGTGTAAAGTGCGTAGGTGTGCTTTTGCATCGCTTGCCTTAATAACCGAAGTCTAAATAATTTGCTTCCACCGAATGTCCGTTCAAAGTCCTGTAATGGAGCCAAATGTGTGAATGAAGGCACTTCTAACGTATAGCGTTGACACCATGGTTTCCCTTGGTGTGTTATCGAAACGAAAGAGGGTTGGGAAGTGTGACACGTGGTAGCCTAGTAATCTTTTATTGAACAACATTACTTTATATAGTATTTATTTTGGCTATTGACTTACAATTCTTAATTAAGTAGTTGTTTAGTTAGATTATTTCTTTCGTGTACATTACCAAATTCATCGTGCCGTTGGCTTATTCCAACTTCAACAACCTACTAATGTGCAGACATTTAGGTTTGGCGTCAAGAACTAGTAATCACTTAAATTCAGATCTATCTTTGCAATTACAGCGTAAACACTTGTGTACAGTAGTACAATAAGTGAATTAACGGGCCCTTTTTCGGCAAATCACACCGCCGTCCCAAGCAAAAGCGATTATGCGGTAGGGTAGCTAAGGGAAGTTATGCTTGATCACCCGAAAGAAAAAAGCGTTAAGTTAACAATGATAAAAGCTGTTATTGAAGTGCGTCAAGGCAGAGAGGAGGCAGATAAAGTGGCGAAGGGATGGAGTGTAGCGACACTTTGGTTAATGCTTGGTGGGGAATCTAGTACATCACAGGAGAGCTATTGGTATTTTTTGTACTTGAAAGGCAATGTGTTTTTGACAAAAA